CTGGTTGCAACTACCACACGACCTATAGTACAAAAGATGGACTTCCTGCGTGAAATTAACAGGCATTACTTTACAAAGAAAATTGAAAACTGTGCGAAAATCATGAAAACGCGTCTGTTGCTGCAGTGCATTATTTCCATGGTTACTATGGGGTGGGGGCCCACAGGACAGCGAAATAATGCATTTTAAGAATAAGTTCCAAGCACAAGTTTTCCAGCGCACTCCTACAGAGTATCTTGTAAATGTATCACATTCTCCAGTGAAGGTTGTTAGCAAATTCTAGTAGTTAAATACAAATATAGAAACTAATCACATTTTCCTCTTACAGTCAAAACCACATACCAAGCAAAATGTTCACAGCACCTGCTGCACTCTTCCTCTAGTTAAGCTATCCACTCCTCTGCACTGGGAGATACTGGGTAACTGCCTAGCACCAACTTTCCATATTACTGCCCCACCTTCCCTCTCTGTAAAAGTTCAGTGACTAGAGGATAACATATTATGAGGCAGCTATCACTGAAAATATGTTTTATGGTTAGATTACTAGAACCAGAAAGCATAAACCTGCAGGTAGGTGATCTGATACACATACTGACTAATAAATTCCCTGCAAGCAGGCAATGCCTCTCATAAGACTAGATACGCTCGTGCACAAACACTTTTCTTTAGAAGTAACCCAAGTTCTACTAAACTAATTTCTTCTTTACACTGCAAACTAAACAACTGCAGGGGCTGTCCACTGTATGGATGCATTTTACAAGTTACTTGAAAAGAGTAACTCTTGCACTGCCTTTTTTTTTCAAATATTTCATACAAGGCATCAAACTAATAGTAGATATGCTGATCTTGGTTTACCTGCCCTCATGTCCAAGTCTGTTTCCTGCAAAGCTACTTTGTCCCAGCCTTTGCATTAACAAAACAACATAAATTCTCATATAAACGTGGGGGAATCAGTAAGGCGTATCTTCACAGCTGTCAGAGTAAATCTGCAAAACAGTTCTTCATCTCTGTAAGATTTGAGCTTCTGACACATTGCTACACTGACATATCTCCCACAGAACACACTTTCAATATTTACAGGAAAGGGTTGCCTGCAGTAACTCCCAAGCAGGAGAAGTTCATTTATAACCTTAAATAGCAGAGAGACTGACTTCCTGAACAAGGAAGTCTTATGTAAATAAACACATTTCACAATCCAACACACTTAGTGAACAACAAGTTTTTGTTTGCCTCAGGATTAGGGCAGGCAAAAAGTAGGTAAGTGTTTACTATCCATTCTGATAAAGAACGGGATTTTAGAGAGAAACTGGTTAAAGTTAGTGCTTATTTGCATGAAAGGCAAGCACAAAACTTGCACAGAATTGAGTTGCAAACCCTGAAAAAAAAAAAAAGTAAATGAATAAACCTTAACCACATGAATTCTTAATAGGCTGGAGTATCTGTCAGCAGCTAGAATGAATAAAGGAAAACACCAAAAACATTAATCAAGTTGCAAAACTGCCTTTAAGAACCTCAATAATTAAAGCTGGGAAACGCCCGTTGTGAACTTTGGCCTGCAACAGCAGTACCAGCAGCAATGCTTAGAGGAACCAGCAACAAATAACTATATAAACAATTTAAGATAGAAACTAAAAAGCAAGGACAGAAGAAAATCTCATAACAAAATATATGTAAGAAATGTAACAACAGGGACTAGAGTAAGTCACAGTTCAAGAGATGCAAGATTACAACATACTAAATACCCTTTTCTTTGGAAGAAACCCCAATTTTATTAAACTAATTTTTTGCTTATACTCCAAACCAAGCACCCTGAGGGACTGTTCACTGTAGGGATGCATTTTAAGAACTACGTCAATGCAGCAATTCTCGTGTTGCCTTTTCTTTTTTTCAAGTATTTTGTACAACAATCAGAACAAAACATGAACGCAGGTCAAATGATCCTAGTCCCCAGTCAGAGGGTAACACGTAACATTGAGGAATTTTTGAAAGGAAGAAGACAATAGTCCCGTGAGACGCATGTAGGCAGATGTATAATTTTAGCACCTGGAAATTTCATGGCATCCTTCCATTTTCTATAGTCTTTTCAGTAGCAGGAATAATTAGTTGCTACTTGTCCTGTGCCCTTAAAAGATGCTCCCAATGAACATACCTAAGATATTTACACTATCTCCCTTCACCTTCCCTCCTGGAAACACTCCTATTCTCCAGCACAAAGCTGGACAATAATTCAGCAGTCTATCAGCACTGCTCATATTCTTTTCCTCATACTGCTCCATCTGTCCCCACACACATTTGGTAACTACTATTTTAGGAGTGTAAATTTCTGTATCAGCAATTACCTCTATCTGCAGTATTGGAAGTTACTAGCCCAATCTCGTACTTGGTAATACTTGAGAGTGTTAAGCTTACTCCTAGTCAAACAGAAGATCTAGCAGAGCAGCACCTTTCAGAACTGTGAGTTGGGGTTATTAAAGTTACTTGGTCTTCCAGTTTTATCTGTTCAAGAATGTTCTGTTGTTCAAAACAAAAACTCTAAACCAAAGAAACAGAAAACCAGTTTTTCCTTCTCTCAAGTATTTCCAGAGAAAAAGATCATATAACTGAAGCTCTCCTGGGAGGAAATGAAAAAAAAAAAAGAACCAAAAAACCCCCACCAAACCAAAACAAAAAAGTAAGCCAACTGTACTTGCAATTGAAGAATATATATCACTTTTTCATTGATGTTTCACTTGCATCCTGGCAACCTTTCACAAGGAGAGCATCTGATTTTACCCACTGACAGGGTGTAATGTAACACTGCTGCAGCAATGACAGCCACAAAGGTGCACTGAAAAGCAGAAGTGGTTTAAATGGGGAAACGTTTACAGCAAAGACTTAATCTAATCCTCACTTGACAGAGCAGGAGATAGCCACCCTTCCCTTGTCAAAATTAGATTTCTCATTTATATATTCTTTTGACTGGCAACTGATACCTGTTAAAAGTTGCAGCTATTTATTTACATTTTTAATGGAACCAGGAGCCTGTATGTCAAGACAAATGAAATCTACAGATGCAAATTGCAGATCAAAGCCCTTCAGTGAAAACAAAATGAGACAACCACCACCCCCCAGACAAAACCGCAAAACAGCCAACAAAACAAAACACCTGTAACCCCTTTTTCACCTGGTCTTTAAGAAATATATTCCCTTAAAATGACCCAAACATAACAGAATACAAAAAAAACAAAAAAAAAAACAAAAAAACCTTTTTAAAAGTCCCCTTAAAAAAAAAAAAAAACCCCCCCCCCCCCCCCCCCCCCAAAAAAAAAACCCACCACCAACAAAAAAACCCCACCCAAGCAGCAAAATTTGAAATTCATGAAGTTGAATTCCACAAACCTTAATTCCTGTGGAAGCTACAACCTAACTGTAAGAGAAACAGAGGAAAAGCTTTACGAAAATCCAGCCTGGTAAGAGGTGAAAAGCAGAGACCCTCTGGCCCGGCAGAGAGCTCTCCATCAGCACAGGAAGGTGGCTGCCTGACATGGAGCAAGTGCAGCGAGGCTGCAGGTTCACCTCACTTTCCAGGGAGGCTGAGCAGGGGCAGGTGCCGGTGGGGAGGTCGGGCGGCCACCACATCCCTGCGGCACAGGCCGGCTGGGAGCCCGCCAGGCCACACCAGCTCCCCACTGGTTCCCTGACGGATCCCTGCTGGGGTCCCGCCTGCCAGCGTCCGCCCGGGCTGCGGGGAGCACACACGGGAGGCTGGGGAACCTCCTCCGGGGCCAGCCTGTGTTTAGGTTTGCTTGAACAGCCATGATGCTGTAACATAAACCTCCCTAACATGTACAAGTTCTGAAACCTTGTCCTCTATGTGTCCCAGCTTTGGCATTTGCATATTGCTGTACTTTGTATTCCGAGGAAATGACAGCCACAGCCACACTTTTCATTTCAGGGAAGATTACCTCAACACATTTGTATGAGATAAGTATTTGTAAACTGATATTAGATAAGGCAGTCGGATGACTCCTCCCACTCTTCATCTCATGCCATGTACAAAAGTGAAAGCTTCATAAAAACGGTCCTTTACATTTATAGGATAAAGCAAAACCACACAGACACATACACAAGGACACACACAAGCCCCGCGTACATGATTAACTGTTTTTTCTTTTCAAGCAATCTCTAACCCTCTTAAATCATTTTTACAAAGCTCCCGACTGTCTGCTTGAAACAAAAAGGCATCATTGCAGAAACTAATATATTTAGGCTTTTTGCAAACAATTTTCAAAGGCTGTTTCTAAGGAAATAAATGTACAGAGTTTACATATTGAGATACAACTTTCAATAATATTCCAAGAAGAAAGTACTTCATAATTCCATTAAATTCAAAGTACCTTGTAATAAGCAGCCACAGCGGCTTTGGAAAGCAAATACCTGCCTGACAAGTTTACCGGATCTATTATAATATCCAATTTCAAATGAGACTCCCATCCCCTACGTTCATGAATGACCTCAACTATTCTGCTATCCCATCATTTAGAAAGAATAAAAACCATAGAGGAATAAGCTGGTTCAGATGAAAAACAACAAAAGCCAGTTCATATTTTTTGATGGTTATAATTTTAGAAGGCCTCTTTATTTGTATCAATTCAGATACAACAATTTACCCTAAGTGGCACAGAAAATTAAGTGAGCTGATATATACATAATTATAAAATTTTCCAAATCACATTCTGTGCTTTACTTAATGATTTGGAACAGTTATTTCTGAAAGAAAGCTTTAAAATAGAATTTCAAATACTAAATACCAGTCATGCAAAGCAAAATGTTTAATAAAAACTGCAAATCTTTAAACTAGTAATTTTAATAGAAACCCACAGTGAGTCGATCACAAAAACAAAGAGATCAGTAGTCAATGCAGCCATGCAGACAAGAAAGGGAAATCTGGCAGATTTTTCCGAATGATGAAGATGGAACAAAAAAAAATAACAGTGTCAAAGGTAGTAGAAAAGACTTACCATCCATGCTGAAAAGCTAGTTTTCAGAAACATATTGCTCCTAATATTAATCCAACAGTTGATGAAGTATGTTAATCTGTACAAAATCAGTGCTTCAATCTCTAAATACACTTATACACTAACTGGAAAGAGAGAGCACACAGAATCCAGACAGCTGCTCTTTCTTACGAGCTCATTGTGATGCAAAAAACTATGAAGCACAAGGTAACAGTAGTAAACCAAAATCAATATTCAGGACACAGCTATTTGGTTTTTCTCATTAACTACTTCTGTTCTGACCAACGCTACCTATTCACGTCTAAAGCAACTCAAAATGGCAGGGGGAAAAAAGCATGCAAACACCAGGAGGTTTTAAGATGTTCTCAATTATATCAAGCACTGGTTGTTTCCATGGCAACCTTAGACCAGAATTATCTGTTGACTGGTACCCAACTACTAGTTATTCTAAAGCTTTAATTAATTCACACAATGTACTCTGTACATTATTTCATATTTCAAATGTATTTTTCTGTACACACACACACACACATATATATACACATAGTAATTGTTCAGCTAAATCTCTGTAAGACATTCCATGGTATTTGAAAGCATATTGGCATTATTTTGAATCAGTTAGAGACCAAATAATATTCCTTTGACTATTCATCACCCATCCATTTGCAATTTAGAGACTATGAAGATGACGGAAAGACGCCAATAGTGGTAACTGTCCTGACCATTTCAGCTATCCCAGCTTTTAATGTGTTCTCTTATTATGCACAGATTTGGAAAACTCGATATGCACAGAATTGGAAAATACTTGTATCAGGTTCAAGAATACAAGATTCATGCTGATCCTATTGTCTCTACATTCAAAACCAAGCAGCCTCACTCTCCTTTCCTTTCCCATTTCAATCTTCCAAAGAGGACCAAGCCACCCATAAAACAAAACAAAAACCAGAAGGTAGGTTCCATACAGCTGCAAGTGCTCACAGTCAAGATGTCTAAACTAAGAATGAAATACATCCTTCTGATGAAGCAGCCTCCCTCTCCTTTCCTTTCCCATTTCAATCTTCCAAAGAGGACCAAGCCACCCATAAAACAAAAATCAGAAGGTAGGTTCCACACAGCTGCAAGCGCTCACAGCCAAGATGTCTAAACTAAGAATGAAATACATCCTTCTTATGACTACATCCTTTGGCTGGGCAGCACAACTGACCTGGTTCCCAGTCCAGGCTGTACAATCCCCCCTGCGCTCAGTCAGCTTTTCAAAACAGATTCCAAGGCCCACGGTGCTCTGAGCCACCTCCATCCTACTGGATTCTGAGGATTTTATGAAACACATTCATTTCATGCATCAACCAGGAATCCAAGGCATTTTGGGAAAACTGTATGTTTTACACATCAAAATAATAAAGCAAAGATATTAAATTCCAAAATCAACTACCAAAAAACCCCTAAGGCCATAGACCACATGGCAAATTCCTCAAACCCAAAACACTAGACGACTGACAACACAAACAAAAACTCCACCCAACAAGCGGCAGCTCCTTCCCCTTCAGCAAACCCACAGCTTCAGCAGTAACTGCTTGGAAAAGACATACATAGACCTGTTACAGTATTTTAATACAACAGAAGGTATAAATATATTAACTTGTTTTTCAAATGAATTTTACCTAAAACAACAAAAATTCTGGTAAGTCATTTTCAAAACTTTTTTCAGGAATTAAAGAGTGCTTTTGCCTTGAACTTTGAGAGTAATTCAAGCTAGTGGTCTGCTATGTAGCTTCACCCAAAACCTTACACCAACATTTCATAAGTTGCAGTGATGCAGGCAGAAGAGTTGAGAATATTCAAATATCCTGGCAAGGCAAACACCATATATGTTTCTGAAACACTGCTTATTCATTAAACTTTCTGTCAAATTCATCTACAGCCTGAATTCAGTGGCCCTCAGGTAAAAAAAAAACAGAACAAACAAATCAACAAAACAAAACAAAACTGCTTCTCTTTCATTTTGCACAAAGAATTTTCACAGATTATGTATTTTTCTAAAGATATAATTAGGAGTCAATAGTAGATAGAAATACTCTGTCCACTATACTCCTTTATCTTCTCTATCACTCCTTTGGCTACAGTGGTAGCGAAATGAGAATCTTGAAACATAGACTTAGTCCACGTGTACCTATAGTATTTTTATTTATTATTTTTTAAAAACAAACTACAAATTCAGGACAAAGCTTCAGAATTTCACCCCATAACCAAAGCTAGAGACTCAACCACCATTCAGCTACCAGCTCAGTAACTCTGTCTCAGAAAAACTGCATGCAACCACTGTGCTTAATTAGGACTAGAACAGCATTCGTGGAACAGCCATTTTCACCATGTTTATCATCAAGAGACACAACAGTCCACTTCCTCATCAAGCATGTCACACGAGAAAACCTGCCTTAAATAGAGGAGGAAAAAAACAGTAGAGACTTGTATACAAAAAGGTCACAATTTTAAGTGTCAGTAGGTCAATACCATTTTTTTCTTCATAAACAAAAATGCCTCACTGTTATTTTTTCACATAGCTATTTACATAAAAAACTTCATCTCCGTAAACACAAGTATGCATCTATTTTTAGCAAGCCGAAAACATTTTGGAGAAGTGGAAGCTCAGAATTTATGCAGTTTCGCCATTTATCTTCCCAGAAAAACTAGTTGTTCCTTTCCCATCTGATTTGGGAGACCTAGACTTAATCTATTTTAGGACAATGCATTAGCACCTTTTTGTTTCCATGTTTACTGCTTACCCTCTGAGAGCGGATTCACTCTCTACTCACATAATACTTTAAATTGAAAGCAGAGAGATGTATAAACCCTTATTTTCTTCATGGTAACACTGCGATGCTAAGCATTTCCAATAAGGCCTCTTTTCAACTGAAATAATTATGCTATCTCAAATCCATCAATGAATCTGAAATCTGGAACAAAGTTACCATCAATTACCATATTGTACCACTTTAAAACAAGTATTTAACCACAGAAACAATATTGCTTTGCAAAATAATGCGTGGCTTCAAAAGAAAAAAAATTAAATTCAATATCAATTTACTTAGATTGTGGTATTTTTTGAAATCTCTCACTTTTATTACCCAAAATGTAATAATGAAAAGTTTTAATCCATATAAATTATACTGTAAACTGTTCACTAATTAAGAAATTATAGGTAATGATAGTCAGCATTCCCACACTAAATTAATATGTAATAATTTAAATGAAACACAATTTTATATTGTTTACCACTGTACAGAGCATTCTGATGTATATATCCCTTAAAATAAAACAATGAATGATAAAAAGCCCTATAATTAGAAGTTTAATCTGTGCAGCAATGTCTACTGATTCCAAAGTTTAAACATTACAATCCTTAATGAGTTTTCTATTTCTGTTGAACTAGCTGATTTAATTTGAAAATAAAGGAAGTAATTTAGAAGTAAAAATCGGGGTGGGGGCTTGTCAAAACCAGTTAACTGTGCTTTAAAAGAAGGGAGGGATAAATTCTCCTGCCAGCCACCAGTCCATGAACTATCCCCCCACCTCCCCCTGCCTGCTGCAATACACTATTCTTCAAATTAATACCTTTAGGCAATGAATAGTAAAATTGCCCCCAGAACATATCACAGATCAGTGTTCGTATCTGATTACAAATATGCAGGTTCTTCACTTGCTAGGGAAACTGAAGAGTGAATATCTATAAAACAAACAAAAAACCCTACTTACTTGATTTGTCCCATAGGACAGCAAGTTCAGAGCAATGTTGGCTCTCGTTTTCCAGAGCCGCTCTCTGTTCATGCACACCACTCTTTGAATGCCTATGGAAAAGGCGATTAGCAAAACCTTCCAGTCTCTGCAGCGCTGTGACTGTCCCTGTGCACTGGTTACAAGGTACCTCCTTCTGAGCTGCCATCTATATGCACCAGCGACTTTTACAAAAGCAAAACAGAAAATATCTAAAGAGAGCTGGACAACTCAGAGCCACTAAGAGCTACGCGTGTGTCAGGCTTCCTGTATGCAGTGTTTTCTAACCACTGCTCTCTTCTACTTCCTGTTAAGAAAAGCTCCATAAGGTACTGGCTTATACTGCTAAAAGTCTCTTTTCATGTCAATCAAAAAAGTGGATTCTTTTAAAAAAAATGCTATAGTTGCTCTAGCATGTGTTTTCACAGCTTTTTAATGCATCACGTATCTTATATTTAAATATGATTATATATTAAAATACTATAAACAACTTGTTCAGAAGTAAAGATCAGAAGGCAGATATATTTTTTTTTAATTTACCACAACCACGCGCGAAAAAAGAAAAGTGACTATTCTGCAGTTCTTCCCCTGTTATGAAGATGGAGTACTACCATCATCACAGCAAACATAATCAGCTGTAATCTAATCATCAGTAATCTCATATTTTCAACTAACCAACCTTCTAAGCAAAGAGGTTACTTGCAAAAACTGGGGGCGGGGGGGAAAGTATTCTTTTCCTCCTTTGAGAAAAATCAGACTGAAGAAGTTGAACTCCAACATACATATGAATACAACTGCATTATATAAACTGGGTTCTACTTGCTCAAAGACCAAATGCATGTAACTCTTTCAGGAATAAAGAACAGCCAGCACTGGCAGATCCTTATCTAGCAACATGCTCACTCTCCCAGCACCAAGGGCAGCTGGAAGGAGGGTCACAAAGTCATGATCACCAGCTCCTGGCATTGCTTGTGTAAAAGCTTTGCGTGTAAGTCTCCTGGAATTGCATAAGAAAGTTTTTTCATTCACAGGAAATCCAAGTATTTTCAACTGTAGAGTTAAGTCTAGAAACAGTAATCTTTAATGGTGCAAAACAAAGGGAAAATAAATGGAAAGCTGTATTTAACATTAAATTATATTAAATTGCAAATTATGTAATTTTGCATGCTTACAACGGGTAATACTAAATATTCATTTTTGTGAAAATGGAAACACACACATTAGGCAGGTTTCCCAGTATATCCTCTGCACATATAAGATGTGGCTTCTTAAAAATTTAGCCTATTCTTAAGTGAGATTGAAATAACTTCTCCACAATCTGTCTCCTGTCTTACAGTCAACACATGTTAAAGATCTACCTCTCATTTTTCACCACCATACTTCTCACTGAATAGTTTTCAAATGTCAGCAGATATCCATCCTTGGACATTACATAACTATTTCATAACAGCTCTGTGCTTCATAAAAAAAACAAACATGATGACAAATCGCCTGTGATAATGATAAAACAATAAAAATGCTGAGGGACTGACTTTACAGATTTGGCTACACTCTTCCTAATGGGCACTTCCAGAGGCATTGTAATCGGCCTCAGTCAACACAACAGCTTACATTTCTAGACTCTGCGCAAAGC